AAACATTCCTTTTGTGGATAACATTTCTCCTTGTACGGACGATAAGAAATTGTATCTACGTTGAAATTGAAGCAAAGCAATGAAAAGGCAGACATATTTTATAATGGAGTGGAAAATTAGGCTGTCAAGTGAAAAATATAAAAAATATGCCGAGTGGAAAGTGCAACTGAAACCAATCAGAATCAAATTACATAAACGCACGCACGCACACATATATACACGCACGCACACATATACACACGCACGCACACATATATACACGCGCGCACACAAACACACACAAACAAGAGTGCTGAAAAGTTTTTAACTTGATCCACTTTCCAAAATCTGACCAAATGACCAAAACATCAGTGGACTGGCGCTACAGCATCACAAACAAAGATCTGTACCAAATAACAGATACCACATCATTTTGACGACTTTCAAAAATAGCAACAATTAAAATGTGTAACTCGAAGAGAAAATGTTGAGATAAGATACTGATTTTTCCAAACTACTCTAAACAAAATGTTAGGGAGGGAACCCCTTTCAATAGAGGAAAGAGCGATAACAGTTACTGGAATTGATATACCTATTTTCCTGAAAAATTGGTTTTAAGAATATATTTCGACCTAAAGTAGCACTGGCTGTTAGGTTAATGAATGCTGAATGTTTCCTTATAATGAATCGACTAATATTACTGTGACCATTATCATTTGTGAGCTGTATACTAACATTTTAGTATAAAATCGTTGAAACAGATATTGCTTTGTATATAGCGACTTTGGTGTTGTTGGTGAAATTACTGTACGGGAAGACACGCTTAACACTGATTTAAAAAAAATTCGTCTTTACCCATATTTTCTATAAAGGAAAAGAATCACTATCAGTTAAGCATACTGACTCCATTAAAAATCTCTAAAAATAACATTATATAAGTAGATACACATTTACAGAGGCAAGAGATTCATGGGCGGTGGCACGAGGTGACGAAACGGTTATTACCGCAAAAAACTGAATCGGTACATCGGGTTCAATTTACACGAATGCACTTGAAAAAGGCATGAATCTGCCTCTTCTTACGCGCTTTTACATCGCCAAATTCCCTGACAAAAAAAAATGAGCAGTTATCCTTATCTATATTAATTACAGTTGGACTAATGTCCTCATTTTTGTTGTTATCGTTACATTATACAGGGTGCGGCAAAAGTAACACCATTTTTTATTTATTAACTTTTATTGAATAAAAATAAATCACAGTAGTTTAAGATTACTTAACATTAACTAAGGCTTCCGCGTTCGGGTATGGTTACATATTAATTTGAACCTGGGGCGGATAGGACGAGGTGGAGCAATTGAGTGGCCATTACGATCACCAGATTTTTCCTTGTGAGATCTACTGAAATATCTTTTTCACAGGCTCAAAACAAAAACAATTCGTGAATTAAAATAAGAAATTTCTGATAAATTTTTCTGAAATTAATATAGAAATGCGTTAAATAGTTTGTTAATAACAAATAATGCTGGGATGATATGATAATACTTATAAATTTTCTTAAACTATTGCAATTTATTTTTGTTCAATAAAAGTTAATAAAGTAAAAAAAAAATGCATTGTACTGCCCGGTCTTCTTTAGTTGTCTGTTGACCCAGGTAAACTTCAGGGAATTTCGAATTGAAATCTTTATTTAATTGATGGGGCGATAGCAAGCTTGTCTCGCTAGAACAATTACGATTGAGTAGTGAGTTCGATTCTCACTGGGTGCCCCCTACTTTCGGCCTTGTGCCACATCTAAGCTACGCTTGGAAAATCACTATGGGGCAATATAAAGCGTCGGTTCGTAAATTTGGTGACATAGTAATTGTGAGTTCAATCCCCGTGCAAGGTAATAAAGACTCAGACAGTGGAAATGGGACTAGCAATAAGCGAACAGTAAAATAAAAAAGAAAAAACAGATGAGATATCCATAGACATAGAGGGTGTAACAAGAACAATCTACGACTGTAAATTAAATAAACGGTTGACTTCGAACTTACCTGAAGGTTACCTGAATCGGCAAATACCTGAATAATATATATATATATATATATATATATATATATATATATATATACAAATGTTATATACGAACCCCACTGTGTAATTATTTAAATGTGATATGCTAGGTCTTACAATTTAAGTTCGCTTCGTCCATTTCATTTCCTGAGTCAGTATCATGTCCTGGCAGCTAAGACATGATACTGACTCAGGAAATGAAATGGACGAAGCGAACTTAAATTCTAGTCACAGCTGCAATGTTTTGCCACTAATATAAAGTGACATGTTGACAGGTAATGGAAGGTGGTTAAGGACGATGCTGTAATAATCACTCTCATGATGAAGTCAGAGCAAGAACGACGTTGTAATGATCACTCATAATGAAGTAAGAGTAATGGCTATACTGTAATGATCACTCTCATCATGAAGCGATCATTGCAGCATCGTCTTTACTCTCAGTACCTTATAAGAGTAATCATTAAAACAGGGTCCTTACTTTCACTTCATTAAAAGAATAATCATTGCAGCGTCCTTACTCTCATTTATCTCAGGGATTCACCTCACTTTAAAATCGACCTTGTGCCACATCCTACCTTGTGTAAATACCGGTTACAATTACGTGTTTGACTATTGTGTTAACCCGGACGTTAAAGTCGAGAGTCCAGTGTTTCAAGACGAATTAATACTTTTCTTAGAGGTTCTATGCAGTCGTGTATTAACTGATAAGTAATCAATAATCTTTCCATTGACTCTTTACTTCTTTGTTGTTAATGTATTTTAATTGCGTTTGGTAAATATTTTATTATTTTACATTGAAATCTTTCTGTTATTACTTGTATTATGTATGTGTGACGGATTACAAAACTCTTATACTCTTACAAGAGTAATTATTACAGTGTTGTCCTTACCCTCACTTCGTTATAAGAATAATCATTACAGTATCGTATTTCGTCATTATTAGAGTAATTATTACAGTGCCGTCCTTACTCTAACATCTTTATAATAACAATCATTACAGCATCGTCCTTACTCTAATTTCCTTATAAGAGTAATCATTACAGCATCATTTTGGCTGGGATCAAAGCGTGGTATCAGCTCTCCTCATTTTAGATGAGAGAAGGTGTCTAGTTCGTGGGATTCCAACATGTTGTGTTGGAATCCCACGAACTACCTTTCTCATTGCACTAAGAGAGATAGTAATATCGACAACAGCGTGACAGTGGTCGTGGGAACGATGCTGTAATAATGTTTCTCATAATGAAGTTAGAATATGAACGATGCTGTAATTATTTTATTTACCTGACTTCTGCACTAAAGTACGATGTTGACACGAGGTCTTTCTTTTGGTAGCGGCTCATACATGTAAATATGGGCCAAGGACAAAAATAGCCCAGTCGCAATTCTTCCAGAACATGAGAGATATTTAAAATATATCTGCCTTATTTATTCATATCCTCTCTCCAACCTAAACACGACTCTCTAATGCAAGTGTGATTTTAAAATGGATTGGTCATGACAGATGTACATTGGTACTGTTGGATCAAGGCTGATAATTCTTTGTAAAGGACGTTTTATGGGGTACCCTCGTGTATCAAATACAAGTTTCGGACGATGAAATTATTTCTTTCGAGTTTTCCCTCGGTTCGGGCATTATTTGGTACAGCACGTTTATTATATTTAAAATTATTTTCTCAAATTATTTTATACCAGAAATAAAAAGAAAATTCCCCGCTTATTTTATAAGTTGAAAAATTCCTACCGGCATGACTATTCCAGACGGAGTATGAAATAGTGTGTGCGATTCACTGTGGACTCGCATAGTAGAAGCAAATGAACATTTCTGGAGCCCCCTGTATGATTTTTAGATCAATTATAGAAGTGTATTAATGTTATTTATATTTAAGAGGAAGATTAAAAGAAGATTACTATATTCCCAATTAAAAAATAAGTCTAAGAATTCTGGCCTGCGGTAAGGAGCCATAATTGCCGAAAAGCCTTACATTTTGCATTTAACTCATTTCAACTTCTTTTATGGGGATTTTCAGTACCAAAAATGGATTCAGCACACAAAAAAAAAACATAGGAAGAGAGATCTAGATCATGATTTTCTGATAAATACAAGAAAAGTTATGTTTCTGCCCAACACATGATGCCAAAAGCGGGTAATGATCAATGTGAAAGGAACTGAGTACATCTAAAACATCTTCCTTAAGATAATTTTCTTACATTTCACAGATTTAAACTGTTTTAATATTTGAGAACTTAAACTAAAAAGGAGAAAAAACTCCATCTCAGGCATTTTTGTCATCGTTATTCGAAGTTAAGAGTCAGAGACAAAAGCTGATAAAATATGGTAAAAATGCTGTTAATTTGACTGAATTTCGCGTTGTAGGACCCCAAAATCCATTTGATATAGGTCATTTCTTAAAAATAGTGTCATGTTAAACCTGCGTGTCACTTATAAAATTCATTTCAACAAGATTCCAATGATTTTTTTTTTGTCGAGAAGAAGCAGAAAAAGCAACTATCCAGAACTGATCTGCGAAGAATAAATGATTAAACATGTGCCAGTTTTTGATTCATTTCAAACGATCATAATTTGACAAATACTTGCCGTTCGGGCAAAGTTAGACCAGTTTTGAAGCTCTCAGAATACCTACATTCAAACTAGATACATAGCATATATACCACTTAGGATATGTTACAAAAACGTCAAGAGCCCCCCCCCCCCTTACGGTCCCACTTAAAAAATTGGTTTCTATTATAGGAATTAAGCGTTTACGTTCTACATATTTCTCAATAGTATTAACCGGTTAGATTCAGACGCTAGCTAACAAAAACAATTCCTGTTTTGAGTAACTTTTAGAAATTAAAGCTGCAAATGACGACGTCGGTGATGATGATGATGATGATGATGATGATGATGATGATGATGATGAAAAAGGAGAATAAGGTACGGTGTGGTAAGGGGAGGGAATAGTAATCAGAGAAGTAATAAGAGAAAAAGACTATCAGAAAGGAAAGGGAAGCGAAAAAGGAAGAAAGCAATGGGATGAGAGAATGAGATGCAAAATGAGGGTGATGAGGTGAAAAAGGGTGGAAAGAAAAGGAAAACGGGAAAGTAGAAGGCAAAAGAAACGATGTGGAAGCTAGAAGGGAAGAAAAAGAAAAACAGCAATGAGAAGAGAAAGAGGAAGAAAGATGAAAAGTAAGAGAAGAGTAAGAAACAATGAAAAGAAAGGAAATTCAGACGAAATCAACATGGACAAAACAAAGAAGAATGAGTATGATAAATAAAAAGAAAGAAAGAAACAAAGATTATTGTATATAAAGAAAGTGAAGAAACAGAGAAGCTGAACGAGAAAGAAAGAAAGAAAGAAAGAAAGAAAGAAAGAAAGAAAGATAAATATGGTATTTTATATAAAGAACGTGAAGAAAAAGAGAAACAAAAGAAAGAAAGAAAGATAATATTGTATTTTATATAAAGAACGTGAAGAAATAGAGAAACAGAAGAAAAAGAGAAACAAAAGAAAGAAAGAAAGAAAGAAAGAAAGAAAGAAAGAAAGAAAGAAAGAAAGAAAGAAAATTTTTAAAATGAAAGTGAAGAACGAAGAAACATGCATGGGAAAGATGCTAACAAATAAGGAAGGAAGGAAGGAAGGAAGGAAGGAAGGAAGGAAGGAAGGAAGGAAGGAAGGAAAAAATCTTCTGAAAAAAAACAAGAATAAATCAATTATAATCACCCAATTTAGATATTTTAAATAAAGACACCACTGACAAGTTCATTTGAATATATATATGTGTGTGTGTGTGTGCATATATGTGTGTGTGTGTGTGTGTCTGTGTGTGTGTGCGCGCGCGCGTGTGTTACGCTTGTCAAGACTTCCATTGGCCGTTATTAGTGCTGCTAATAAGAAGAAACCTAATTATCCCTTCTATCGTTACCCTGACACTTGTATAAGTCGACTTAGATTTATTGTTATCCCACTTCACACCATATTTCCTACCTTTGGCCAAATTATTTCGACCAAGAGGATTATTTTTCAATAAATGCTTTTGCTTGTATATTTTCTGTCTTTACCTAATTTGTTTCATTTTTTTTTTTTTTTTTTTCTTAGATTTGTGTTCTTTTTTGTTTGGGGGATTTTTTTTTTCTTGTGCGTTTTCGTTTTCCTTTTGTCTCTCTATTTTTTTTTTTTTTTTCGCTTTAGATTATTTTTAGAGCAATTTCATTAAAAAGAACAATATTCGGCTACAATATTTTTAATATATAAAAAAAGCAATGAAATCGCAAGAATTTAGGATTTCATTTTATATTACACTCCCATAACTAGATATATTGATTTTTACTAACTATAGTACAGCACAAAAGATGAAGATTATATTACGCCGTAGTTTCCAAGTAGCAAGACGTCTACAAGGCAATGAAATCAACATCCAAATTTCTGGCCTTGAACAAAGCTTGAACACCAACTGCTTCGAAATAGCAATTATTCAGCAATAAGCCAACCCGAAATCACAAAACATATTACAGATATCAAATGATACGCAGTATTTTTTAATGTTCCTAAATGAAGAAGAGATTTGAGGCAACAGTAAAGTGGTTCTACAGAAGAATGCTGGGATATCAAGCACTCAACATCTGACTGAGTAATGACATTTATTTATTATTGTAACTAGCAGTAGAGCCCGGCGTTGCCCGGGGATGTAACAGTAAGAGATAGATCAAGTATCGACCATCATAAAGACTGAATAATAAAATTGACAAAGATTATTGTTTAAGGTTGACGGACACGCATGTCTTAATTAGTTTCTTTTTTTTTTGGTGGGGGGTTGTTTTTTTACGAATTGGTCAAACTCAAACAAAAACATTGTTTTCAATCGTTATGAGTCTACCGATTGAATAGAATTTTATTATAAACAATTGTCTTGTAAATGGAATTTTTAAAGCATTCTGAATGTAAAAATAAAGAAAAAAGTGCGCAAGACAATAAGAAACACTACCTGCCAAAAAAAAAGAAGTGAAGTTTTGTTGAAATCGGTTGAAAAATGTAGGAATAACACACACACGAACACAAACGAACACACACAGACAAACAACCTGGGTTTTATAATAAGTATAACTCGATATGAGTTGTCCCCCTTTCATTCTCGTGATGTCTCTTAATCGTGTTTTCAAATTGATTTCGTGCAAAAACAATTGTGTTTTTCCAATTTTTAGCGCTGTTAGAACCACCGCAAGGTAATTTTACGTAGTCCTGTGAAGTTTTGTTGAAATCGGTTGAAAAATGTAGGAAATCCGATCCAATATATAAACGTACACACACACACGCGCGCGCGCGCGCGCGCACACACACACACACACACTGCGTTTTATAATAAGTAAGATGTACAATAATTGTGGCAAAGTAATTTTCCAAGCGTACCTTGGATGTGACACAAAGCCGAAAGTAAGGAGCACCCAGTGAGGATCGACTTCACTACTCAGTCGTTGTTGTTCAAACTTGCTAACCATTACACCACCTCGAGGTGCCACATATGAGTACTGACAAAGTTGTAAAAATGCCATCCAAAAGCTAAACAGAAAAGTCATTAAAAACAAAGAAAAGAGTACATATATAATATCGATCCTCCTATATGGCAGTGAATGATGGACACTCTACTCATAAATGCAGATGAGACTTGAAGCAACAGTAATGTAGTTCTACAGAAGGATGTTGAGAATACCGTGAACCGAACATGTGATCAACGATGAAGTTTTAGAGAAAATGGAAACAATAAGGACCCTTATACTTAACATCAGGAGGAGACAGTTGAATTTTCTATGACACATAATGAAGAAAGAGGGCTTAGAAAATATGATACTCACAAGATAGGTTGAAGGCAAGCGGGACAGAGGAAAACAGCGTATAACCTACTTATGGAGCTTGAGTAAATGGATGGCGGAACAAGGTTTAGGAGAGATAACTAAAAGACATTAAAAAAATTTAAGAGCTACAAAGGACAGGAAATTGTGGAGAACCATGATAGCCTAGGTCCGGAAGGGACCCGGCAAGAAGAAGAAGAAGAAGAAGAAGAAGAAGATTATTTAGGTGATAAGAAACGACAAAACAAATACTGTTTTTTTTTTTTTGTTTTGTTTTTTGTTTTTTTGGTGGGGGGTTACGTAGCTTTTTCAAAGCCATGCCTACATTGCTTGAAATAAGAAAATACATTCAAACGTATCGTTTGTTAAAGGGCACGCATGAAAGCGAAGTGCTGTTATCAGTTTCCACTTGCTATCAATCTAAGTGCATCTTACTGGTTCCTTCGTCTCCGCTTGCATATAGACTTTGCTGAGAATTGCCGAGAAGTTATTAATTATGGCGACCCAAAAGATATGGTAAAAGCAAGCAAAAACAAAATTACAACACGATGAAAAACAAAAAAAGAATATGAAATGATAAAAAAGAGAAATATTGCGAATCGGCCATCCTTACAAAATTTTCTTCAGTTAGTGATGAACGGATGTGATGCTACATGGAATATGACTTGTACTAAGCTATAATATATATATATATATATATATATATATATATATATATATATATATATATATATATATAGATCAACACCAGAGGCGACAGTCTGTCTCATGCTAAATGCATTCGTCAGGCCATGTCTCCTCTGGGTGTTGACTTCAATGTCTACTTTGATATTTACATAGGCTCTATCTCTGATATTGAGCACTTTAACCCATAAATATAGCATACTTTAAAACTATATTTTTCATAATACACACACACACACACACACACACACACACACATATATATATATATATATATATATATATATATATATATATAGTTGTGTATTTGGGCAAGAAAACCTCTTTAATACAGGTTTCATTGAAATTAACAATTACTACTTAATGCTAGTGAAAAATATGTAACTCTATCCGACCATAAAACAACAGATAAAAGGCAAGAATATCTAAGCCAATGAACTCATCAACACTTATCCAAACTCAATCCATCTAAATCATCAGGTAACATACCAACTTCAATACGTAAAAACACATGCCTGTAATTGTATAAAACAATAAAAAAAAAAAAGTAATAGAAGCCATAATCATAAAAAAACTAACCTGAATAACATCAACTACGAACATAATTTACTGGCCGTGTTCGGGAATTAAAAACATGTCTACGTATCAGCAGTCTACACACCTTTTGCAAAAGCACAACCAGATAAGCCGAATGCTAATGGCAATGTTAGCCGTTTACTTATTTGGCATTCACTGACAGAGCAACCAGTGCTACTTGATGGTGAAATTTATAAAGTCTTTCTCTACAGATTTTTCAGGAAAATAGGTTTCTCACGTCAAGTAGTTGTTATTGTTCTTACCAGTATTAAGGAGATTTCCTTCCTAACCTTTTGTTTGAAGTGGAGTGGAACGTAAACACCTTGATTGTGTCATTATTTTCTCTTCGAGTTATATATGCTATCCATTCTACTTGTTGCTGAATTCTTCTAGTCTTCCAGTGATGTTGATTTTGTTATTTGGTATAGTTCTTTGTCTGTGATTGTGTCGCGCCAGTCCACTTGACCTGATATTCATATGAATGCCTTGAGCTGACGAAAGCGCTCAGAATGAACAATCATTTGGACAATTCTTCATACACTGAGTCCCAAAAAACACAATGGAAAAAAATTCAATTGAAATACCCAGTCAGTCATTTTCATTGGAATATATATATATATATATATATATATATATATATATACTACACCACCCGTGACCCGTTGGGTCAACATTGTTATGTTACTGTTTACATTTACTTTTATATAAAGAGTTTGTGAAAGTAGAGATATTTTAAAAATACATTTGTTTGCAGTTATTGAAGTTGCTTTTAACATAAAAAAAATTATCTGTTTAAAGAAAGTTGAAATAAAAATGCTTACTGTATAAACAAATCGTATTTTTAAATCATATATATATATATATATATATATATATATATATATATATATATTATCTGCTGAATGTTCAGATTATAAAACATTAGCGTTGCTTTCAAGATTATAAAAAATGTCAGTTTGAAGAAAGTTGAAATAAAATATTTAAAATATTTGTTTAAAGAAAGCTGAAATATAAATAGGCACGCGCGCAATCACGGGAAGGTGGAAAGAGAGAGAGGTGAGTGGAAAGAGAGAGAGGTGAATGGAAAGAGAGAGAGGTGAATGGAAAGAGAGAGAGAGGTGAATGGAAAGAGAGAGAGGTGAGTGGAAAGAGAGAGAGTGGATTGGAAAGAGAGAGATTGGAGGAAGAGAGAGAGGTGATGGAAAAAGAGAGAGGTGATTGGAAAAGAGAGAGGTGAGTGGAAGAGAGAGAGGTGAGTGGAAAGAGAGAGAGGTGAATGGAAAGAGAGAGTGGTGAATGGAAAGAGAGAGAGGTGAGTGGAAAGAGAGAGAGAGAGGTGAGTGGAAAGAGAGAGTAGTTTTTTTCTCCATTTCTTTCTCTCCCCCACTTCCTACACGATAATAAATTCATATCTCTCTTTCACCACTCTATATATATGACTTCTGGCAAACACACAAGCAACGTTTACAGACTTTTATAGTAATATATATATATATATATATATATATATATATATATATATATATATATATATATATATATATATATATATATATATATATATATATATACGTGTGTGTGTGTGTGCGGTGTGTGCTGGAAATAAAGATGCCCTCCATAACATTATTCATTTCTCCCAAGATTTCACTCTTACAATATATATATAGATAGATAGATTGATAGAAAGATAGACAGACAGATAGATAGATTGACTGATTTCTTTTTTTTTTAACGGCTTACCATCCTTTTTTATTAAAAGACAGAAAATATTTTAGACTGTAAGTATTGTTTTGGACAAAATAATTCTTTAGTAGTAGAAGTCTTACTAATTAATTCATATCTGAAGGAGAAAAGGTGAATTTATACCTTTCCCAAGGGTATTTGCCCGTAAATAAATATAACACACCCGACTGGAATTCGAACTCGGCTCACCGATTAACAATTCCCAGCCATTATCTATTATATCACCCATACGTTAAAGTTTACAGCACCTGGTATTCCCCAGCGGCCATCAATCACTGAAGTTAAGCAACGTCGAGCGTGGTTAGTATAGATACTAACCACGCTCGACGTTGCTTAACTTCAGTGATCGCACGGGAACCAGTATTTCGATGCGATCGTACGCCCAAGAACATAGATAACGGTTCACATAATCGCATATACAAAACTGAAATCTCTTAAATCGATAACGAAATGTTCGAGTTTGTATTAAACGAATGCAGTCGTGCCAAAAATTGACTATTTTGACTATACTTACTATCTTATATCTATAATTCTCCAAATGTTTGTATGTATGTATGTATGTGATCTGATGTTTTTTATGCATTTCCACAGTTTTATCCGATTTTGATTAATTTTTTTTTTTGTTTGATGGATAATTCTTCAGTGCCGGTTTTGAGTCCAAATTGTTGGCGACAATGGCTCTCCACTACTTCCTGTCCATTATAACTCTCAGCAATGTTTTACTATTTACTATCTGTTCTTGGATATATATCTTTCATAAAAATAAATACTTTAAATTATTACAATATTATTTATTATTATACAGTTACCTTTTCAGGGCCCCCCCATTCAAATAGTTACCCCCCCTGCATTTGGGGATGTGCCTCAGTTGCACCCAAATGTTGTTACTAATATTGATTTTCGGGAGGGCTGACTTTAAGCTTAAACTACTCCAACTGAAAGGCAAAAACTCCCAGTAATGAAAGACCCGGGCAAAGACGGGTTATACTGCTAGCTTTGACTATATTTGCTCTCCACGGATACTGTTTATTATAATTTGTAAATTGCTATCACTTCTTGGGGAAGGTAATTGAGCAGTTTCCCGTTGGCCTTCTCCTAGACTTGTTTTCATTCAAAGATAGAGTTCCCAGTTATTGAACCCATATTTGAAGGGGCGGGGGGGTAGAGAGAGAGATAAATTCTTGCATTTCCCAAGGGCAACTGTGATCGCAACAGAATTTGAGAACGCGTCCCAACGATTCCACTTTCCGCATTTTATGCATATTATATTCATTTCAAATTTCAGGTCGTTAATGACATGAACGCTCCACTTGCTATTTCTCAACTTCTACATTCATCTAAAATTAACCAGCGATTGACCAAATGTACACGGAACATTACACACAATTTTGGCAAGTATTTTGCATGTTTCCAGTCGACATGAAACGACTTATTCGACTATTCGACACCAGCAGAAACTCGACAAAAGTCCTAAAATGATGTCCTTTGTCTGTTCTATTTAAAAATATTTAATAAATAGACTCCCTAAATATAGCAAGTTTAATATATATATATATATATATATATATATATATTTATATACATACTTATGGGTAAAAGTGCACACTATCAGCAATAGAGCGTAAGTAAATATAAAAATATAAAAGTGGTCACAGAAGTCAACGGCGGCAGTTTTGATGACTGCTTAGTGTTGACCCTAGTTTCACTTTTTTTATTTGAAATATATATATATATATATATATATATATATATATATATATATATATATATATTCGACATGGAAAACAAAAAACAAACTCCTAGGAAAAAGGAACTTAACAATACCAATATCCAGAAAGAGGCTTACGCAGGAGCGACTCTTTTTCGGATTTGATGTAACTATGGCTACAAAATAATTCATTTTCATTGCTTGTCTTGATAAAGTCGGAAGACGAAACGCGTCAGCAAGAACTGAGAATTTTTTCCAATTTAAATCTTTAAACCAATTTGTCTTATTCTTAGAATTATTCTGGGAAAATTAAATAATATATATATATATATATATATATATATATATATATATATTTACGGTCAGACAGCTGGTACAAAACATGCTATTGACTGTGGCCCATCTTAATTTACTAAGCATGCACATAATTACATCTCCAATCAATTAAAATCTGAAGTGTCATGTTTGGTATGGCATCAGGGCAGATATAATAATAATTAGTAGTAGTAGTAGTAGCAGCAACAGCAGCAGCATTAGTAATTCTTGTTTCAGTTTTTGTATATACATATATAGTGAGTGGAAGATGTCGACTCTGTGTGTCTGTGTTTTGACATAGGAATCAACATTGCGTGGTCACGCCCAAAACGATAACTTCGGACCAAAACTTGATTCCAGTACTATATGTATAAAACTCCTCATTCTGATAAGAAGCACTTTACACCTATAAATACAGTAAATTTTAAGTATATATATATATATATATATATATATATATATATATATATATATATAATTAAAAATTATTAAAAAATCTGATATTTATACCCCTCGGAACAATCAATAAACATAACTTCCAAATTTGAAATTCTTACCATTTTATATATATATATATATTAGGAATAGGTTAAATCCGACATATTTTAATTCGCTTTGCTTAAAGTTATTTTACTAATGAATACTCATATTTGAGTAAATTCTCTGTTTATTTAATTAAACAGTATTTTTATTTAATTACATTAACCGGCCTGAAAATACAATAAAATCCTATCAGAAAATATGCGTCCTCCGGCAGGATTCGAATCTTGATTTCTTTTGTTTGCGATTCTGTAGCGCCAGCCTACAAGATTCGAGAAAGGATGGTACACGCTCAGAGCTGCAGGCCTCATTCGCTCAAAGCCATTTTTAGCTATTGATCTAATAAAGCGAAAAAAAAAGTGCACAAATGAACGACCCATTCTATAATAAGCATCTTTACAAAATAAGCAGCTATGTTTTCTTCTTCATTTCCTTCTTCTTCCTTTTTTAATTTCTCTGGTCATATAATTAAATTACTTCGTATCTTGCCGTTTGCCATCGGCCGTTTATCCCGCCTTTTGCCGTATTGTTTAAGGAGATTATCTTCGTCCGGATTATCAGCCCTGCGTGCAATAAAAGTGCCCCATGACATATTTATCAATGGCTTACAATATAGCATTAGTGTTTCAATTAAAGATTTTCGCGATCGTAATCTACATGTAATAGAGAAAATGCTTGTCTGTTAATATTCAGCGCCAAAAGTTAAATCAAATATGCCCGCTACAACGGTAATAGACAACACACGCAAATATATAAGCACACTCAATATATTTATATATAATTGCTGGAAATGTTCCTTTTTGCTTGTTACACGTGTTTGAGTTTCTATACTTGTTTGTTTGTTTTTGTTTTTCTTTGGGGGGGGGAGGGGGGCTTAAACAGTGAAATTAATAACAACTGGACGAAATGGAGAAGACCCACGAAAGAAAAATCGCGCCTCTCGACATAGATCCGAACCATTATTGAATCCACACCTCTAGAAGAATATAGTCGTTACCAATTTGGCTACAGGAGACCATCAAAATAAAGTAAGGTTCAATGTGCCAATTTAACAAGTTAAGGAACGTCAATTTGAAGGGATTTCTGCGAATCTATAAAAATAAATCCATTTAAAAGTTACTGTTGCTTAGGTTTCGCTAAAAAAATGAAAGTGAAATGATAGTGTTTCAAGTCGTGTGAAACGTCAACATCTTGATTATGTCATTATTTTCTCGTCGAGTTACATGTGCAATGCATTTTAATTATTGCTACTGTTGAAAGTTCAACAAGTAATGTGTTTTTTGTTATTTAGTGCAGTTATTTGTAATTCTGTAGTCCCAGTCCACAAGAAGTAGGATGATCTTCTCTACGAGCTGAAGGTCTCAATCGCTCGAGGTCATTTTGAGCTACTGATCAAAAAAATAAAATCCACAAATAAACGACTCATCCAATCAGAAGCATCTTTACAAGATGAGCAATCGTATTTTATTATTATTTTCTTTCTTCTTCCATTTTTTTTTTAATTCTCTGGTCATATAATTAAACTATTTCGTATTTTGCCGTTTGCCATCGGCCATTTATCCTGCCCTTTGCCGTATTGTTTAAGAAGATTATCCCCGTCAGGATTATCAACCCTGCGTGCAATGAAAGTGCCCCATGACACAGTAATCATTGGTTACAATCCAGCATTATTAGTGTTTAAATTAAAGATTTTCACGATCGTAATCTACATGTAATAGAGAAAATGCTTGTCTTTTAACATTCAGCACCAAGAACTAAATCAAATATGCCCGCCACAGTGGTAGCAGACAACACATGCATACATGTAAACACAAACACACATAATATATATATATATATATATATATATATATATATATATATATATATATATATATGCGTGTGTGCGTATGTGTGTTCGTGTGTGTAGAGAGAGATAAAAGAGAGAGATAAAGAGAGAGAGAAAGTGATAAGGACAGAGAGGAGCAATGAAGCGAAACCGTTACCGAGTTCGAATTCTGGTAGAGCTTGCTTATGAGATGAAATCTTATGCTATGTGCCATCGCCAGATATCTTCACAAAAGAGCTTTGGGCATGAGCATAGACACACATATATAGACACCTGCCTGCGCGCGTAAGAACGTACGCGTGTGTGTGTGTGTGCGTGCGTGCGCGCGCTAAATTGTGGAAATTCAAAGAAAAATAGTGTTTCGGAGGAAATCTGAAAAAGTAGATTATCATTGAAACTTGTTATATTTTGTATCAATTTCTTAATTAACTTCGTTATAAAAGTTTGTTCATATAAAGTTAGTGTTTTTTAGCGGTAGAGTTTTCCCCATTGTCTTCTGTATTACTTACACAGCATCACTTATCTATTGTCTATATATATATATATATATATATATATATATATATATATATATATATATATATATATTAGTCGTGTGAAGATGTTTTCAGTGGCTTTGATTGCAGGGAGTAAAGACTAAATATAGAATAAAAAAAATAAATTTTGACACCACTGTAGTCATTCCCAGATATTTCTTTATATATATATATATATATATATATATGTGTGTGTGTGTGTGTGTGTGTGTGTGTGTGTGTGTGTAATGGAAGTTCAACACTATCCCAAAAGTATTAAGATATAGGAAAATAATGACCTGAAATAAAAAAAATAATCAGAGATATTGAAAAAATAAATGAAAAGAAAGCGCTTTCTTTGGTATTTATAGTAACTTGTATACATACATACATACATATATATATATAGATCGATAGATAGATAGATAGATAGATAGATAGATAGATAGATAGATAGATTATAATAAAACAAATAAAGGCGCTATGAGAACATTACTCGATGTAAAACGTATAAACAGAGCCAATATAACATATAAAAAACGATATTGAGATATAGTTGCTTTTCCGCGACATAAAGTTTGTTGTTTTGGTTGTCTCACAATCTTCTAGTGGTTCAAGGTACAAGGTACTCAATTCTACATTTCTCAATTTCTATATTTATAAATTTAGACTTGAACATACATCATGTCTCGTGAAATGCCTGAAGATTGTGAGGAAATGCAGCTGTATTTGAGTATGCGTGGTTTTTAAATATATTTCTTATATATTTTAAATTGCTCTGCCTTTTCCCTATTTGAATTTGCATTGATCTATTTTTATTCATATATGCGTTTTTGACAAATAGTTAATTTGTCACTGTGTTTTTTAATTGAATCATATATATATATATATATATATATATATGATTCAATTAAAAAACACAGTGACAAATTATATATATGCACCAAAGCTGAGTATCATTTACCATGTATTCAATTGTGAAAGCAGAATAACATATATCATGTGTTTATTACTTCAAAGCTCCCAAGAAAATTAAATTTCAGCATTAAATGACCCATAAGAAGTTGATATGCCATTAAATACAGAAATCAATCAGTCCATGTTCGTACGGATGGCTAGTTAATCCCTGATGCAGACACCTACTCAAGCACATTAGTATTTCTTCAAGCCCACACAGTAGCAACCTGTGGTTTATACTGCCAACTATACTGAGCAGACCCTAGTTAAAGATTCTGGAAGAGAGATAGAACGCAAATCTGGCATGATCAATGGTTGAACCAGGCCAATAAGCTCAAAAACCCTCGGTTACGAAGACTTGTGACTTCGTGCTAGCATAACCAGCGAGTAATTTCGAACAGTTTCGTCTACGTGGCTTTCACACACTTACTAATGCCATCCAGAAGTCACCTCTCTGATAAATCGACTAGAGTGGAATTTGAACCCGGCTCTCATTATCGGAACCCTGAAGCTCTAATCACTTGGTCATATACATTACCGAGATCACAACATTCTGCAGTCCAATGATGAATAAAAAGCATGTATTTTATATGACAGATATCTATTTTTCAACATTGTCTCCTTCCTTCTTCTTATGAGCTTGACCTCTTCAAGTCTAGAGCCGACTGTTATCTATCCTACATATATTCTTCATAATATACACTTCTTATTTCTTCCCTTTACTTATTCAGTAATCATATAGCTTTAGTGACTCTTAGACCTTGTATTGGGTGAACAATAGTATAAAAAATCACTTAACTCAGTGCATTGTATTGTATTCGTCGTAAATCATACAATGAAATTTTCTAATCAAAATTCAGCTAATAGCGACCACATTGATCCAATTCGTATAACGATTTACTAAGCGTAGCTTAGATGTGGCACAATGTTAAAGCTAGGAAGCACTCAATGAGGACTGGACTCACTTATAATTGATCTAGCAAGATAAAATTGCTAACCATTACACCACGTCGAATTGCTCTTGATCCAATTCGTATAGCGATTTACTAAGAGTAGCTTAGATGCGACACAAGGCCGGAAGTAGGAAACAGCCAGCGAGGATCGAACTCGCTACTCAATCATAATTGATGTGACGAGGTAAGTTTGCTAAACATTACATCACGTCGAAGTGGCCTTGATCTAATTCGTATATGAGTAGAAGCTATTTTCGATTTCTTTTTTATTGATGAACACAAATTAGCAAACATCTTAGATGAAGAATGTTGCATTTACTTCAGTAATTCTCGTCCGATAAGGTCAAGTGTAACAGGCTGGCTCCAAATATACGCGTCATTTAGTTCAATTAAAAGTCTTACCAATATCCTGTTATCTTACCAAAATCAAAATGATTGAAAAATGAATTCCACTCTTATTTCACAATAGACGCCTCGGTCAGAAGTGTATTTTTTATGCTACTTGTTGTTAATTAATTTTACGTACAACTTTGCTTTCACATGAACTTGTAAGCGTTTTTATATTTTGTTTGCTCTTCCACGATCTCTTTTTTTTTTCTTTTCTTTTTTTCTTTTCTTTTTTTTTTTTTACATCCGTTTCGGTACGTTTCACGTTCTCTGATCTCTCCCAGCGTGATCCATGTTGGGCAACTTATGGGGAAAGGTTTCCCGCCCCAAGGGCAATGCTTAAAGGAGTCAGACGATTACAAAAAGATAAAAATAAAGTTGTATTACTTTTTCTTTTCTTTCTTTTTTTTTTTTTTTTTAGTTAACATACAAAACCATGTACCAATTAAACTGAACATGTATTAAAAAAAGTACTTTTCAAAATGGACCAAACGTATTGCCACCTAGAGTTTTGTGAAAACACAACTTCTGTTTTAACGATATAATACTAGCAGCAGCCTTGGAAATTACACTTTTTATAAGTCTGTCCATTTTCTTTTTTTGAAAATTACACATGCTCATAACATTCTTTCATTATGTTAAGAAATTTTATAAGCTCAACATAGAAATGAGAAAATATGGGATTTAGACAATTTATATTATTATATAATTTATATATAATTATTATATAATTTATATTAAAATTACGAAAACGTTATCTTTATTGCTTCTACAATTAATACGTAAACGCGTTCAATGTTTTTGAATATTGTTTGTTCTTTTTTGCAATAAAGTGTGGAAAGGTTTAAGATGAAAGAGGGGAAAATTAAACTAAAATATTATATAAATTTTGCCTAAAAAATTATATACGTGCAACAAAAAGAGAGGATGAAAAGGTGAAAAAAAATAAAAACATTTATTTAAATATTTATAACTCGAACAACTTGTTCTGCCATTAAAATAACGCAAGTTTCTGTAGTCATGGTAATACAAATATGCTTGAAACATGCTGTCGTCTGCTTCTGTGAAACAAAAGGAAGTGAGTGATACGTACCTCATGCGAACAGAGTAATATCTGAGAGCATAACGTACGCAGAAAGTTATTGCTAGAATTATTATCTTGAGAGAAAACACCAAATTCAAGTCGGAATTTTATGGTCCAGTATCCACGATTTACACTCCTTCGTGAAACAAAATTTCTAAGAAACGAACATGATTTTGAAATCTAAGAAACTAAATGAAAGATTGTTTGGAAATTTATTAAAAACATCAGTAAAGGCATATATATATATATATATATATATATATATATATATATATATATATATATATATATATATATATAAAAAAGACACCTCCAAGAGCGATTCCTAAGGTTTAAAATACATTTTTTAAAATGAAGTCTTTCCTGAAGCTTTTTTTAGTTTCAAGCTAACAGATTAAATTTAATATTTATTAATAAACGAAATACTTTGCTGTATTTGAAACTGAATTTAATTTGATTGGAATAAGTTTTTTTTTATAATCAATAAAAAAAAGCTAAAATCGTCCATATTAACAAATCTGTCAGCACAACGTAATTCTCTTTATTAAAAAAAAATCTTTCAAAAGTAAAATATACTTTTCTGAAACTGTATTTGAGGAAGATTTGCTGATTTAAAGTTTAATTAATATGATTTGAAATAAATATTACTTCTTGTTTAAAATATCGCAGAAAAGCGTTGTTTTAACACAGAGGTTAGTGTTTTTATGAGGTGTATATTTTATATTTGAAATAATTGTTAATGAAGTGAATTATGTTGTGTTGACAGATTTGTCAATGTGGACGATTTTAGCGATTTTTAGATATTTCGTTGCTTATGATAACACGAGATATTTGATGTTATACAAAGAGTGAATATGCCTCTTGTTATCATAACCACAAAATTTTTTTGATAATACTCTATTTCTCATTTGGTTTCATGTGACTATTCTTTTGCTATATTTATTTTTAATGAGTTCAATAAGAGAATTCATTCTTTATTGTCGTGATTAAATTACCCGGCCGCAACGAAAGAGAATCGTTTTAAATACACAAAAATAAAAACTGTTTGCGTGTCACCATCAATAAATCCGCAAACTGACACGTAATTATTAGCTGTATTTTGATCTGAAATTTTCCCTGGAAAATATCAGGTTGGGTTAGTGGATTTTAACAACGTATTACAGATGTTGTTCTTTTTCCCCATTTCGTAATAGTACGCATATATCAATGACATAAAAACAGTTTCAAACTTTTGTAAATAAAATCTAAGTACAGACTACCTTTAAGGAGTCAAGGGTCGATTTGACACTCCATTTAGATTATGAACAAGATTGATGTCGTAAAATAAGTTTAAAATTCAAAATTTCCAGATTCTGACTAACGAATGCTAATGTCCAAAACCTGTAAAGGAAAAACTTTCCTATTTTTTACGAGTGGACCAGTCAATTTAGGTATTGCCTGTGTTTACCTACGCACATGTTTAAAGTATAATTTAGTCACTAGAAACAAGAAAATTAGACGCTACTTTTGAGAAAATGACAAAGCTGGCGTCTTAGTGCATCTCAAAACTTGCAGTATATAAACGGTTTAAGTATTAAACACAATGGATGCACTCTTTAAACAAAAGAAGCTTTTAAATTATAGTCTGTTTCTGTGTTATTCGCTGAACAAGCTTAAGAAAGAGAGTATTTCAAAGAAAGAGAGTATTTCAAAGAAAGAAAGAAAGAGTATTTCAAAGAAAGAAAGAAATTAAATGAAATAAAAAGGGAAAAAATGAACTTTGATGCGGTAACTTTAAAAACTGAAGTGAAAAATGAGAAGACAATAAAGAAGAAATAATGTGAAAGAGAAAAAGAGGAAGAGTGAGAGAGATACTAAGTTGAATATGTAAGACATTTTATGAGATTTATATATATATATATATATATATATATATATATATATATATATATATACTCGCGTATCGTGCGACTTTTGTAGACCTAATTTTGAAGGTAATTTTAAGAGGGTCACATCATACACGAGATATAAAATTAGCGTATGTACTGCTGACACTGGTTACGCCCTTGATCAAACTATATATCCATTTACTGTAGTCAAAAAGTACAGCTATATTTAAAATAAACATGATTTTGATAAAACTAATGTTTTTATGGGATAAAGAGATAGTGGAAAAGAGTCCAGTCTATTGTAATTTGGTCTCTCAAAAAAAAAAGGAACTCGCAAGATACACGAGATACATGATAAAATCATTTTTATAAGTGAAAATTTTGGGGTTACACGATACGCGACATCACGCGTTACACGAGTATATATATATATATAT